GTTTCCAAGATATAGCGCCTTGTTCATCTCGGAAACAAAAGCAGCACAAACGCTACTTTCAATGGCACAAACATAGCACTAATGAATGAGGTGGGTTTCATCGTTTGTGCCGCCTGTAGGGGGGGCAACTTCACAGAGCTGGGAGATATTTCTAGAGATACCCTTTACTGTATCGGGGCTGCCCTCCCCTGTTCCCTGCAGCTGTGTCGATGGGTGGAGAACAAGAAAACAGGACAGCAGGCCCCACGAGAGGGGGGGCAGCAAGGCCATTTGGCCCAGGCCTCACCTCAGCCCAGGCTGTATTTCTTGACTTGAGTCAAATTTGGAACTTTTATCATATACCGTGATTCTCGACTCAAGTCCTGTGGGAAAAAACATCCCCCTTTCAGTGCTTAATACACCCTTCTTTAGGAGTTTCATTTCAACATTTCAAAGCACTTTCCTAACAGCGCAAAAGCAGGGGCCAACTCAGAAGGACGGGAATAAAGACGCGTTTCGCCCTTATTTCACCACCACACCAGGGCGGGGCCTGGTCCTGCTCCGCTCCTCCAACAGCCAATCTGTCTCACGCTCATATCCGGGCTCCGGTCAGTATCACCTCTGTAATTAATGGTCATTTTTGTAAAACGTTTCGAAAACGTTATTGCTACTGCCACCAGCTGGCTCGGGGGAGCAGCACCGACAAACTAAGTTTTTGACAACCTGGGGGAACCTCCAGTTTTCTGCAGGTTGTCACTTTTTTTTCGTGCGCACCTCACGCCAAACGAAGTTCTGTAATTTGATCTCTTCTTTCTGTTTACTGCGGTAGCTCGGTAAGATGTTGAAGTCGTTTTCCCATTAATTTACCGCGCTTCATCGATGGGTCCCGCCGTGATTTCACTGGAACTGTTAAAAACTTTTTGTTACCGTGGTACGCGGTTAATAGTTACTTTTAACTTGCAGTTGATTTTTTTCGGACGCAGACTGCGTACATCTAGAATCTAATCTAAAACCAATGTAAGCGTTTAGGTATCCAGCTTGTCGTGCGAATACAGAATCGATTTTAAATACCTGTTTGAAGAGGAACAGACGACTGACTTCCCTGTGCAATAGAGAACTGTTATTTTTTTTAAAAGTTTATGCCTCGTGTAAGCGCACACATACCCTACACACCCCAAAAAACAAATCGCTCAACACAGGGGTAATTTGTCTGCTATTTGCCTACATGCAGGTAGCGCCTGCCCCGACTGTACTTGCCCAACAGGTGTGATCATTCGCTTACCTGGCGCCTCTGTAACGTTAAGAAAAACGAGCTCTTGAAGGATCCCTCGCCATCTGTCCACCGCGGTAAAACGCTGCTGTTTCCAATAGCCTGGTGTGAGAAAACGGCTTCAAAACGGAAAATCTTGACATGCAAGTTTAAAAAACGGACGGGGAGCTTTTCCAGCTTTTGTTTCTCTGTTATTCAGAATAACCGGACGTGGCACCACCTATCCCGTTGTGCTGAAAAAGAAAGTATCCTGGGAACAGTAGTTCCCAGCAACAGGCAGGTGTCTGGTTGCCTGCTGCTCTCTCGTCTTTCCCATCACCTTTTCCCGATCAACACTGACCTAAATGAACTCGACTCCGTTCGGTCGTGTCGATTTTATATGATACGAGATGAGTCCTTGACCTGCATCGTTACTGCACTCGTGAGAGAGAGAGAGAGAGAAAAACGTAAAAGATTTTTAAGAAGCAGTTTAGGGTTGGAGTTTAGGAACTGCGATCAAACGTTGGGATCCCTCCGGGCAGTTATCAAAAGGTATCAGATTAATCCGTTTTCCATGCTTCTCAGTCTCTATTCATAATTTCTGATTCGTTATATCATTGTTGCTCCCAATACCTTCACACCCCGACGCCAGGCAGGATGTAAAGGGGCTATATAAACTGTAGATGCATTTACCTTTGCCACTAGGGGCAGCACACTCTGCAATCAACAATGATAAATATTTAAAAATATAACAAGAATCGTAAACGTGCAATTTGAGGATATAATGTAAACATTCTTTCTTCATTCTGCTCTGTTTTAGAAGAGTTCCAGAAAGGCTGCACGACACCTTTGTGACTGCATGCATTTACTGTGGTTTATAGAACAGGCTAGCGCAATAATTTGAATAGTTTAAATCAACATCTCACACCAGTAATGACTGAAGACACATATTAAAAGCAACTTTTCTGAAACACCGTTAAAATCATATTGAAACATTCTCTGACCCTTTTTAATCCTGTTTTGTGATTAACTCAGGGTCGTTTTTAAGGTTGTTTGTAACTCACAAATGATGAAATAAGTGCACGTTTTATTCATAATAAACAGGGAAACACAAACCAGGGGTCATAGGTGGAAACAAGAAAGTGCATTTAAAAATTGTAATGCAGACACTTCTTTACGCAAAGCGTTGTAGGAGTATGGAACAAGTTACTCAGCCATGTTGTGGAAACTGATACATAAGCATCGTTCAAGAAACAGCTGGATAAGACTCTTGGATCAATTATCTGCTATCTATCCAACCCGCTATATGGGCCAAATTACCTCCTGTTGTTTATAACTGTTTCTGAATGAAAACTTCATACAAGGCTCATATATAATGGTGCAGTTTAACTGTACATTCCTTTGAATTAAAACAGTAGAAATATTAACAAATCTGTATGAAAAAAATCATTTGGATTTAGCTTTAAAAGAGTAAAACTGATTGAAGATTGCAGTTTTCAGGTGAATGTAACACCACATTATTACCATTATAGAATCAAGTTACAATAGCAATTTTAACAGTTCATCCACTTAATAAAGATGACAAATATAAATTGAAAACCTTATGAAAAATCCTTCTCACAAATCAGTTTTTTTCAATTCATCTTGCCAATTGATAAAATATTTATCAGTTGGTGGGTTGGAGAACAGTAATTATGTACATATAATTTCTAGCAACTACTCTTAATGTTTATCTTAACAGCCATGGTCTAACAGTAAAAATGTGAATACAAATTGTCAAATATTTGTTTCATCCCAAAAACAAAATTGGTTTATCCCGCTTAGAAGATTCACTAAACCTTATTGAATAATCGATCTTTGTGGAATTTGTCATTTTTATGGTCCTCACCACATTTCATTACCATCTCATTATTAAAGTTAAGAAAGTATCTCCCATCTGCTGCTGGCTATTAGCGTGAACATATGCCTCATCATTTCAAGTACAGAATAGCACTGATATCCCTTTATCTCACTGAACAGATGCAGATTCAGTTCATTTGCTGCTGTGTATGGAGATTGTATGGAACTGCCTTTAAGTTACTTTTCCAACAGTAGAACTGCAGATTCTCAGAGATGTTGTACTGACCTTTGATTACAGGATCACTTTCTTAAATTTCACCAACTGCTTCAGTTTAAGACATATTCATTCCATTTAAGATTTTATCATTTGATATGGATTTTCTAACAATTACAGCTGAGATCAAATCATTCACTTCCATGACTGCACTAGAAAACATCACCCAGATCCTCAATGTTTCACAGGTCAGAAAGAAAAGAGTTAATGTCCCACTACAACATGTCTTTTAAGAACATTTTAGTTAGTTAGGATTAACTAACACAAAAAAGCACTTAAAGCACAAAGTGAAATATGTAGCAGAGAGTATTCAGATTTAATTCAGTCCTTGTCTCATAGAGCACAGTAGCAATACAATACAGTGTGCAGCATGTTGTCACCAAGGTGACAAGTAGGACTACTGGTAAAGACAAAGCAATTCAGATAAAAATACCCAGTTGTTTAAAATACAAAAAATAATAATTACCCTCAGAACAATAGAACAACAGTGATACAATGGACAAATTCAAACAAACTCAAGAAGACATGACACTCTGGCCACACACTAGTGCTATGAGTGTCTGTACCAGCATGGGAACCATTTGTAACACTTCCTCTCATCAAGCATTTATACACCAAGCCAAGTAAATAATTCACATTTACTGTAGAAGATGATTACTTACTGTCACTGTTCGTGAAAATTAGGTGGCTTTCCCTGTATAAAAGAAAATCTCAATAATTTTCAGGAAGACTGGCAAATTTAATTCATACTTGAATTCAGCAGTCTATCGTGCAACTTGATTTCTCATGAACACAAGAAAACCAGTAGTACACACACATAAAGCAATATAATATATAAATCTGAATTAGTTTGTACAAGTAAGGCAGAATAACTACGTTTTCATCTGTAGTGAGAGGCAAAAACCACCACGTTATCCTTAGCTATTTCATTTTTAACCAGCTCATGGGATGCTTTTAACTGAATGACCTGGAAAATGTCAATATTTAAAGAGTAAGAAAATTGGCTAATAAAAAGCTGCACTGCGGCACAGGGAAAAGGGTTATTTTCTTTACTGTCAATATATTTTTTTACAGAACATCAGTTTAGTTATTTTGAAAGTACTGAACGTTGGCTTGTTACAGTGTGACTGTTCAAAATCTATACATTTCTACAACAAAGAAAAGCAGATACAACATCTGGCAAAAAGTGCTCAGAAAACATAAAAAAATCCCACAAATATAAATATCTGTCCTCACAAGTCTCAGAATTTAAAGAACGTAAGAGTCTGCGTTTCAGGACTCTGAAAGAAGTGTCTTCAAGGCATTCTGTACAAGTTCTCCTGTGTGCATTTTCCTCCAAAATTCAAGTTAGCCACAGGAGCTGAAGACAAAATCAAACGTCAGAAAAAGAGCATCTTTAACAGGTGAAACTGAAGTAAAATATCTTTGTGCGCGGCGCAGGGTTCAGTCACTGTCATACTCTTCTATCACCAACTCCTCCTCCTTCTCCAGGGGGTCTTGTGCAGTGATGGGCTCGGGCTGGCTGCCCATCAGGTCACTCCAGCCCGGGCTGAGTGCCGGGCCGTCGTCAGGAGGTTCACAGGCAGAGGAGGAAGCAGCTGTAGGCTCCTCTTCCTCACTGTCCAGGTCAAGGGTCCCTGGGTCTTTATCAGTCAGAGCTTCGAGTCTTAACCTGCACGACCCCACACAAGCACAACAGTGACAAAGTGCACCCGCTTCACTGAACAACACAGGAACTCGGCAAACTATATTCTACCAATGTACTCTGTACAGCTGTGAGTACTGCAGACAGAACCAGCAAAAAAGAGAATTTATGTTATACCCAAGGTTTCAATGCTGCAAATCTTGTTAAGCACTTATACCTTGCGTATAATGAAAATCTTCTTCTTTTCAATAATTTGTAGACTGCAGTTGGAAAAAAAAAAACTTATAACTTGTAAACTTGTAAGCTTAGTAATGACTCAACAACGAACCCCTTTCATAAAGCGTTACATATACAACATGAATAATGAGAGACATGGTGGCTAGGACAGCCGGAATGTCTGTATCGTCCCTGTGTGCCTGTGCGTTCAGGGATGGTCTGGACCGTCCAGGGTGTAGTGTCTCCTTGCGCCCCAGGTTTGTCGGCTGGGCTACAGGTTTCTGTCTCTCTTTCCAACAATAGGCCATGCTCTGACAGTGAGTGGGTCGGTGGTGTGTTTTATAGCACATACAAAGTAATGTACAGACCTAAAGGCTTAAGATATAGCTGAAATCCATACAGGACAAGCTATAGTTTGTTAACACCCCTTTTGACAAGCATCACACTTCAATCATCTATTGAAAAGCACAATGGGATCAGTAATAACCAAGGAATCAGAACCTCAGGATAACTCAGTATGATACCAGTATAATTATCCTACAGCACATAGTCCCTTTTCACCACACTGGGGCATTACTAGTGGGAAATATTGGTCCAGTAGGAAACAAGCCACCTACTGGTCCATCAATACCACTTGTAGTAGCCATGTGACTTTACACAAAAGTACACAAAACTTCAGAGAGGTACCATATTATCCTTCCAGAGCTACGGTACCTGTTAGCTCAGGACCCAAAGAGCAGTCATCCCTTTTCCCATTGCATCTTTTCAAATAAAACAGCTATTGTGGTTACTTTATAGCCAATACAAATGCTGCACATACCTTCCAGGATACTTCTTCAGAGGAAGTTTCCCCACATCCTGGATGAAGGCAATCTGAGCTGTTCAAAGAGGAAGAACACCATTTGTGTCCCTGTTAGCACTGGAGGTCGTACCAATAAAAGAGGGAACCAGGTTTGAACTCTTTCCAGCAGGTGTCAGGAAAGAGCTATTATGCTTCCGCCCGTGTTACTGTGAGCCAGGGGCCAGCAGAAGCACAAAGTGTAATGACAGGGGACAGGCAGCTGAAACAGCAATCTGCCAATGTGACATTTGATCGAATCCAAAGATTTACACCCGATGAATACCTTGGCTCAACGTTTCTGCCAAGGAGGCCCAGTTATTATGTATTTAGTTTGGGCTTCGACTGCAGGATAGGCATCAAGGCTGCAGCAGCACACTCTAAGAATTCGTAAGTTCATTTTCCCACAGCATTCTTTTCTGTGGAATACCTGCCGTAAAGCCTTGAGCACCAAAGTATTTTCATTGATGCATCAGTTTTGAAATATTAGAAAGTATTTTCATATATGCAAATATCCTATGTTATTTCTTTATGAATATACCATTCAAGCCTTTATAACGTACTTGAAAGCCGACAAGATATTTTTTAAATATTCAGAATATGTACAGCAAGAGCACAATCAGGCTGTCCTGAAAAATAAACCTTTGTTTCTGATTATTTTGTGCATTTATTTCTTGCTTTACATTTTATTCTGCATATTAGTATTTGAAGGCATTATAACAAGAGTTGCTCCCTGACACACCTTATGTGTGCAAAATCTCTCCCAGCTGGTGTCAGAATATGTAGTTCATCCATTCCAACTGGTAACTATTACGATTTTCTCATGCCAGCACTATGCAAATTTTAAAATGTTGTTACATCTCTGACTCGGAGATGCAGCCGATAATGACCTTATTTCCATGCGATTTTCATGGGGTACTGCTTTTTTCCCTCAGAAATAGATGCCGAACTGGGTGTAGAGTAAGCGCAACCAAAAATCAACAAAACTTTGTTATACAGCAAAACACGAGTTGCAAAAAATACAAGAAGGAAACAATATACTGTACGTGTAATCCAACACCACACAGTTAGCTTTTTTTTTTAATTCACCAGAAATGCTTCTCAAAGCCTGGTGTATGCCTATTTTTCACCCTGTTGTGAAGCTCACTGTAACGAAAAGCACACTAACAGTCATACCTTGGTTTCGCATAGGATTGGTCAGCTGAGCAAGATAAGGCAGGAGCTCGGTCTGAAGGCTCACTGGGGTCAGGCAGAAACTCACAAAGAGGGCCTGAGCTGCCTGGCAGTTCTCACGGTACTGAAATACAAGAAGGGACACCTAATAACTCCTGATGAAGCCTTTTGCACAAGAAGAACTAAACAAAAAGCAAGCGTACATATATTGAAAATACATACAGTGCCGTGAAAAAGTATTTGCTTCCTGTCTGATTGTCTGCATATCTGGACAATTTTCACAGTGATTTTGGTCAGATCTTTTTGTGAGTTGTAGTAGTATATAGGAGAGAGTCTGAGAGAACAATATGACACCACATTTTGGTGCTTCTTTCATTTAGTGTGCAAGGTAATCAAACATGCAATCTTCAGGTGTGAAAGAGCTATTGCACCTCCTAGTGAACTCAACCCAAGTAAAGGGATAATTAGGGTCAGCTGTTTGAATACTTTGGTTAACAATCAAGCCTGATTTAGGCCAGCCCTGTCCAATATAAATCTGACTTAGTTTGGCCCCTACCATCAGAATTAAATTGTCAGCACACAGGTTCTCGAGGCACATCATAAAGACATTTCTGAAAACCAAACGTTGTTGATGTCCATCTGCATGCGAGTCTGCTTACCGTATCTTCAATACATTTTTGTTCCATTTTTAATTCTACATTTAACTACCCTCATGGTACAGTATATAGCATTTTGCAACATTTAGCATAGGGAACTCAACAAACCTCTCACTCGCAGGCAGTGCGGTGCAGGGGACAGACTATGTACCGTACCTTTTTACTGATGAGCAGCCAGTGTGGCTTGTGCAGTGGCTTGAAGCCCACTCCTGTCTGAGAGCTGGCGAAAGCTCTGGATCTGTTCGAGTGGATCATCCCCCTGGTGGCCACGGAAGAGCCATACTCCCTCATTGTGGACTGAGACTAGAAACCAAACGGCGTGGAGATGGTTAGCTCACCAACACGCTCTCTTCCTACAGCATTTTGATCTTTAGCATTAGTTGTTTGAATCATCAATTTTTAATTAATTTATCATGCTATGATGAACAAAGCAACTGTGTCTAATTTTTTTAATATTTTTTTGATTTTTTCCCACTTAAAAATGACAAGTTTGTATTTTACCCATCGCTGCCCCATGATTTGGGCTCTATTCTTAATTCAATTTCAGTCATCTACCCCCTGTGCTACACAGTAACCCTGGCCAATCAAAGGATGTGGTATGATCTATCTGTAGACAATATGGCCTCACGGGCACAGGCACAATGCGGGCTCCTTACACTCCACTCTGCTGAGAGGAAGTCGGCATCTGAGAGGTATTCACTGGCTCGAGCCATGTCTTCAATTTCGGTGAAAAACTCCACGTAGTTCTGCTGCAAATACAGGTTGAAAAGCTCCCCGGACATGTGTGACTTCTCCACCACCATCTGCAGGGGGGGAAAAGGGTCTGAAGTAAAACTCAGCGATTTGTCTTCATTTCAGTCTCGCCGAGAGCCATCACAAACCCGGTCTCCCAGGAGATCTCTCCTGGGCGAGGGGAAGGAGCTGGGAATGTGTGAGGGTTATCCTGCTCCGAGCCGACAGTACCTCACTGTGTAAAACTCAGCTGTTCACTCAAGACCATCCGAGCCAAACATCAGAAACCTTACCAATGAGAGGAGGCCAGGCTGCCATCTCACCGGCTGGTTGCTAGTAATTTAATAATCTCAGAATTCCAGCCTTGGCTTTCTTTCAAAATGGACACCACAAAGCCGTCTGCAACCCCTGACTTAAAGAGTTGTTTCCAGACTCACAAAATCCTCTGCGTATTTATGACATCGAAGCACCTCATCTTTGGTCATAAATGGCCACAGCCATGGCCAATTTTATCTCAGGCTCCCAGTGTTACTGCTGACCTTGCAAAAACATGGGGATGCCTTGGGCTACTTGGACATGCCCTTCAGGACGATGCACACCTGGATTCAACCCCCACATAATCTTCTCTGTTCCAGGTTGAATTAAATTATGAAATGCATTTTTTAAAATTTAATATTATACACTGAATAAAAGTACGACTGCCCATTTATTGTATCAATTAAAACCCACAAATCTGATTTTAAAACAACTGATGAGATGTGGAGCAGGGGAATGGGGCCACGGTCTAGAACAGAAGGAAACGACAATATTGTCCTGCAGGCTCCTGGCTGTCCACACGCAGTGGCTCCTACCTCTGGGTCCACGAGCAGCGCATCTCTTTGGTGTTCTGTCAGGTGGGCTGGCAGGCCGGGCACCTCGGGCTCCACGTGGGGCTCACCTGTCAATCACACACACTGTCGCTGTTAGCACACACTCCTACCACAGTGCAGGCAGACAAGCTGCTCCCAGCAGACCACTTTCCACCCTGGCATTTGGAAAGGGATCATGGCGGAAACATCATGATTTTCACTGTGTGACTCCGCGTTCCCCGAATTTACAATATTTCGCGCTTCAGCAGCAGCTGCACCAGAAACCGCATGCAGCTACAGGACTTTTCCAGTGGAGTGTGTTCACACATTCTTACACCTTCTCTCCCCATCAGCCATGCAGTACTCTGTGTTATGTGGACATGTATGGTTATGCCAGTGCCATCAAAAATATTTCACACTGTACAGGTTGCATCTGGAGCTGCTCAGCGAAACTCAGGCTGCAAGACTGGCGTAAGTCGTAGGTCATACACCGACATTTAAAAACCATTTTCTTTACTTGTAGCCTGAATTCATTAGAAATTGAATTGCCAAGCCAGGATGTTATAAAGAGGTGTTCAGTATCAAACGTTATTCAAATCCGTCTACGTGGGCAGGTCTTTACTTACGTTTACAATGCAGGATCTTCCCCAGGGCTCGGAAGAGGAAAAGGGATGCGTCTTTGCCACCGACAGCCTGTTCCGCGTCCTGTTTTCCGGGCAGTTTGGAGGACTTGCCCTTGCTTCTCCCCTTGGAGCCACCCCTGTTTGCTAACGTTGAAGACTTGCCTTTCTTCAAAGGCCAAAGGCTGCCTTCCAGCGTGCTGTCTAGAAACAAAATTCACTCCATGCTATTTCCTTCGATATCCCATAGAATTCAGAGATCCTATTTCTACAACATTCTGAAAGAGCAAAATGTTCAAAACGTAAAGAAATGATTCCATTTTATGTGCTTTGCAAGGTCTTACAAAGCATCGTTTAAGTGCCCTTTTAAAAACGTTTCTTAAAAAAGTGAAACTGCAGTCTCTTCTTTTTCTACCCGGCCAATTTTGAAGAGGCTGTTGGTTATTAACCTGGCTTACTGAGCCACCCCTGTGGGCACAGTACTCTGACATGGTGACCTATTAGAGCCATTCATCAGAAGACAATGTCTTACAGGAGAGTCAGCATCACATAGAGCAACAGTACACCTCTACTGCTGTCATCCCAGAGCAACCCAAACACACCCTGGCTGATTGCAGCTCACTCACCCTCGGAGGTGTAAGCCCCATTTGGGGAGCCCTGGCTACAGGTGCCTGAAGACAGGCAACAGAGGCCCAAACAGCATTACTGGTTGAGTCACATAATACAATAATAATAATAACAACCGTTATTTTATACAGCACCTTTAAAAGTGGCTTCTTAAAGTGTTTTACAAGTGCTGTAAACCCAGCCTTTCCGGAGGATGCACAATCATGTCCAGCAATAAAAAACACTGGAACTCAGCTTTCTAAATAAAAAGGAAATGTGCGCATGGGCTTGCCGACAGTGTACTCTTTATATCAAACTGAGAGTGCTAGTCATTATCAAAGTGAAAATGAAATCTGGCATTTGAACACTGCATTATGTCATAATAAGAGCCTGACCCTCTAATTAAATATAAAATTGTTTGGTTATGAGAATGGTTTTCCCAACAGGAGAGTGGAACGGCTGCTCTCAACTCAGGGCACTCACCTGCAAGGCTGGAGAACTGCAGGCTGTTGATGGCACTCCTGATGTCCCCGGAGCTCCCTGAGCACAGCAGCTCCAGGCACGCCTTATCCGGAACTCGGATCTTCCCACCACTCTGGAATCACACAACAGCTACTGCTCCGTTCAGGAAGCACGGCCCTCCCTTTCCTCTCACTCACACCAGTGACGTACTGTTCCGATTACGGAAATGTAACTAATGAAGCAAGTGCATGAACAAAAACCAAATGGAATCCCTAAATGCAATTTATGAGGCTGTATAGTCAGCTTACGTGTTCGCTCTTCCCAATCCAAATGAAAACAATATAACTGGAAAAATCAAGATACATTAATTAAACGCTCCTGTTCAGATCACATGCGAATAAATTCATTTCACTGAAGTAACAGCATCCCATGATGATTTTTTGTTTTCAGGGGTCTAGTTTTAATTATTCCACAACTGTGGTCTGTCTGTCTGAAATTCCAAGTCTTTAAGAAGTGAGAACTTACCCTGCTTGCTTCCTGGGACACTATTCGACTCAGCACCTTCAGCAGACTGGTGGGAGCCACAGGGTTAAAACTAAAATTTCAACAAATAAAAGAAACTTCATTTCAATGGGATCACAAAGTCAGAACACACCTGTTTCTCAACACTGAGTCCTCGACGCTGCAATGTCACCTTGGCAGTATACCGCTGGAAATAAATCATATTTCATGCCATTCAAAACATAATCTGTGATTGGAAAACCCTGTGTATATATCCATACATATATTTTATAGCAAGCGTCTAAAGAAACTTGTTTTTAGAATAAGTATATAGACTTTTCGACATGGGTTTTGGCATAATTGTGATTACACTACAATCATTAAAGATCAGTTAATCGACTGACTGCACTGTAACTCGCAATGTGGGGTGATCACACCCTGCAATTTCTCACCTGGCCAGACATTGTGGCCTCCTTGAATGGACTGTGTGAGGCCACATGTCAATACGCATCACCCTGATAATGGGGGTGTGACCATTTGGCCAGGCCTGTTTAGTTGCTACCGAAATCCATTTTAAGTCATCGGTGCTGATCTGACTGAATGATGCTGCACTGATCAACTCCTGGGACCTCACTTGCCCTCCCTATCAACATCCCAGCAGGACAACTGACATTGTCATGCTGCGTAGAATACAGTGGCTTTCTTGCACGATGTGAATGGGACTGTCATGCCTACTTGCCAGGCTTGGGCTGCACTGAATATTTAATGAATGACTGAATATAAGAATGACCATGGCCAATGCGTGGCACCTAAGGCTCAGAGACCGGTGATCACATACACACTTGTCTAGGATCCACAAGACCACATCAGCAATTTGGTATAAAGTATAAAGTGCAAGTTTCAGATGTACAGTATGCCCTCTGTTGATCAATCCTATTGCTGATAAATGTTCATCAGCACAATAAATCAACATATATTATCAACAATAATAATAAACGTAATTTTATATAGCACCTTTAATGCGGTTCCCCAAAGCAGTTTACAGTAAGAAAAAAAAAAGCTCACAATGAGAGGTGACAACAAAACTACAAATTGACAATAAGGGTTAGGAATATAGTAAAGAGGTAGACACAGAACCAGTTAAATAAAAGCCCTTCTAAAGAAGGCTTTGAGTCTTCATTTGAAAGTGCTCAGGGAAGGTGACTCTCCAATATCCTTGGGGATAGAATTCCAGAGCTTTGGGGCACAGCAGGAGAAGGCCTTATCACCCATAGAGTGAAGATTGGCTTGGAGGACAGATTTTTTTCAATTAAATGTCAGTGCACTTGCTACGAATAAGTCTGTCACTTTCATCATAATCTTTGTGCATTTGGTGCGGTTGAGAGAATGTCTTGCTTAGTATACAAAACTATGTCAAATGACAGACTGCTTAACATCAAGGCATCAGTTTAAAGATTTGTACAATATTACAATTGAAAAAAAGCATCAGCTGTTCTACATGCAATATCATCTGCTACTAAAATTAATGTATTTGTCACATCCATGTATAAATATGGCATACCACCGAGACCTGATTCCAGAGATTGCTCAAGAAAGGCAGCACACTCACAATGTAGATGTTTAATGTTGCCGTGCTGTAATATTTACCTAATATTGCATATGTTAAGTTCATCCTGGATGTCCTTTGGAAAGAGCAGTCGTGCGTTCCCATCTCCACTCAGACTGTCTGAGATTATGAAGATCAGAGGACACCTGCCCGTCCTGACAAACCTCCTGATCACACAAACAGACATGTCCAGTCACAACCACGTTCGCTAAAGCGAATCACTGCCTCAAAAAAGGTTCACATTAATTCAAAAACAGCTGAGCCTGATAAGACAGAAATTAAGTGGAAATGTGATCCATTAACATCCTAAATCATTTATACTAACTTATAACATCACTTAAAATAAATGCACTAATACTAAAAATCTCTCTAAATCAAAACTTCTCTGTATCTGGATACAGGGGGAACTTATTTAATTTGTAAGATTCAATTTTAAATGTATAAAACAATATAAAATGACTACAGGTCTGTACTATTAACAGCCAAAAATCATCAGCATAATATAGTGTATGCATACAATGTTGTGGGGACTCTAGAACTAGCTAAACAGTTCCTGTCTAGGCTTGTGTTTGAATCATATTAAGCATTTTCATCTTACCTCAAGATATCATGTAGTAGAGACGGTTGCCTATAAAACTGATTAGGCAGGTCCTGTTTAGGAGAGAGAAAAGGTCTTGCTGAAAGGAACATCTTTTTTTTCTATAACCCCTAGGTTTTAGTTGGTTTTACACTCACGTTTCAATACTTTGGAGGAAAACTCACTCAGGAGAGTGAGGATACCAACTGCCTTGTTAGTATGCTTATTTTGCACAAAGCAGACCACAGCTGGGCACAAGTTCATGCATTTTAATATACAGGGAGTTCTCAATTTACAAAGTATATGAAATGTACTGTATGCATTCCTGAAACATGTCAAGTGAAATCAATAAGTTAAAAAAGAATTCCCCGCAAGAGCTTAGATACACAGGGGTGAAGCATTCTGGGTACTCTCCCAAGCAGAGGACTGAAGTCCCAGATGAAAAGAACCACATACATTTATGTAACATGCATATAGTGGCAGCACAGTGGCGCATCGCTGCGTCACAGCGCTGGGGCCCTGGATTGAATTCACGACCTGGGGTGCTATCTGTGTGGAGCTTGCATGTTCTGCCCATGTTCTCATGGGTTGCCTCCCACAGTCCAAAGACATACTGGTAGGATAATTGGCTTCTAGGAAACTTCGTCCTGGTGTGAGTGTATTTGGGGCTGTGTGCTCTCCTATGGACTAGTGTCTCATTCAGGGGGTACCCTGCCTGGCGTCCGCTGCTTGCCAGGATCGTCTCCAGCTCCCCCAGGACCCTGATGTTTATACAGTTGCACAATTTTTTCGTTTTAAACTAAATGTTTGGTTATGCTTATCAATGTCATGTAAAATCTGAAGGGCAGATCATTATTTGGATTATTAGTGGTAGGTGGTGAACAGTGTGGAAAGTGCAAGAGTTCTGTTGCTAGGAATGCAACTTGATTTCACAAACATCTTCAGTTTCTCATCTGAACACAATCCTCTTACCACCTCACTAGTAAAAAGTGGTCACAGACCACCGAAAAACAGAGTTAAGGGTCACCATTATAAACCGGCAGCATGCAAGGTACCCCTTCTTTGGGGATTATATTTTTTTTACTTACCTCTACAAGGATAACTTTCTTTCCTGCATCTGTATCGTCTCCAACCATCTGCAGGCAGCTGTATTTGTTCGCTCTCAAGAGGAATTCCTGGAACACCGCAGACTGAGAGCTGCCGTAGAAACTATTGAAACTGGACTCTGTGAACACGAACAAAAACAGTATAATAGAAAAACAAATACTTGCATTACAAAATATAACTGACACAATTACATGCAGACTAGCAGCTGTTCTGGAGGATGCCTGAATGTGTATTTCTGTGTTCTCTTCTAAAGATGGCATACCACAAGCAATCTGGTAACTAGAATTCTGCAGATTGCACAGTTGGGCTGGTCCTGAAAAAGCACACCCTGAGTCTCATGTGGGCATCATGTTTGCCTTTCATTGATGTATTAATACTAGATCTCACATTACATAAAGCTGAAATAACTCATCCCTCTATCAAATTATAAAACAGCATTAGTTGTGTTGGTTGCTTGGACGTAATGTAAGTAAAGAAAAAAAAGATGCTGGAACCAAACTGATTATTTGCACAAAAATATTAAATTGAGTGTTTGACCTTATGGCAAGCTATTTTTTATTGTTTCGCCCTCCTTTAATATAAAACAAATAAAATAAATAACATATTGTGTTTTCCAGCAGTTTCTAAAGTACTTTAAAGCTTCTCTGGTCACACTCACTAGGGTCAAAAGCCTGTTTGAAGTCCTCTGTTCCATAGTGAGAGCTGGTAGTGGGGTTGATCCACTCCTGAACTTGAATGCCCTGCTCCTTTGCCAACACCTGGATGGTGGCCGTCTTCCCACAGCCTGAAGGCCCAGTCATCAGCAGTATAGAGCCACCCTGTACAGACAGAAAACAGAAATCCATAGAGTAAAAACATCTATCAACAAGAGACAGCATGATGAGTAACGTTTTTCAGAAGGAAAGAATTTCAAAACTGTTCAGGCTGGAGTCTGTTGAACTCTATTCCCTCCATGGTCCTGTATTATTATTAATGTATAGCACCTTTCATTAAACATCATTTCAATGACCTTCAAAAAATGCATGGGAACTTACAGATGAGTATTATACGCTAAAGCATGAAAATGAGTTTTAAGACAGGAATTTAAAGAGCTAAATGACTTTTAAGATCTGATACGGGCTAAAAGACCATTCCACAGACTTGGAGTAACAGTACACAACACACAGTGTCCGAGAGTTCAGAGCCTCACTATAGAAACTAGAGCATGAAACTCTTGGAACACAAAGCTTATAAGCTCAACCCTTACTTCAGCTTCATTTTTTATATCCTGCAAATTACGTAATCTACATGTGCTCTGTAGTGCAGGTAAAATATTAGAAAGCATTGTAACAGATACTTTGCTATACCTCCTTTAAATGCTTGTGGCCAACATGTGATTTTAACCAGTTTTCAACTTCTTCAGTCTTCTTCTTGTGAACGGCAAGTTCACCCTAGAATGATA